GTTGGCAAACGAATTCAACTTTGGTCAATTGACCCTCGCAGAAACAATTTAATGCGAATTTGTTTCGATCTAATCACGATCGGGATCGACACTAATTTTGGTTGTCATCGGCACTTTTTAATTTTCAACCCCTATACAAGTACCTATTCATGATATATGTTTAATTAAGAGTCTTGATTATAAGTATTTTGTTTTCTTGTATACATATATACATGAAAAATATTCTCTTTTAACAATTTTTAGGTTTGCATTGCATCAATGGATTAAGACTTAATTATAATCTTTTTTGTTTTTTTTGTCTTCATTAATTAATAAACAAACCATTTAATTAAAATTTCAAATATATTCTCTTTTATGGTTTCATTATTTTATTTAATTTATTTATTGACATGTGGGCCAGCAATTTCCATGTGCCAGCATGTGGTGTGTCTTTCTCTGATTGGCCCACCATTAACCCTTTCTTTCACCAAATAAATGGGCTTTTATTCACTTTCTCCCATCTTCACATTTCTTTGGTTTCTGCTACTTTAATTTAATTTGTTCCATCCCACCAATTTTTTTTTTATTTTTTTTTTCTGTCTGAATATAAATTTACACCTGGAATTCTTCGATGAAATCAAGGTATTTTTTTCATTTCTATTGTCCTAAATATTTGTTCAATCTTTTTTTTTTTCTTCATGTAATAGTGTTTTTTTTTTTCTTTTTTTTTTTTAAATGCAGAATGCCGGAGAATAGATCGGAGTCGATGAAACAAGAATTCCTCAAGAAATGGATAAAGGGTCTCCAAATATACAGCAAAAACAGCAATAAAATGACGATTCTCGATAGAAAAAACGCGATAAAACAGTCTGCTGACGTGGCCATAGCTTCAACAAGAAATGCCGAAACTCAGTGGAGCCGGGCCGTGATGGCCCGCATTGCGTCGAAGAACGAAACCGTTGTCGAAAAAATACTAGGCCGAAAAGTACTACTAGTCGATAAAAACAAATCCCGGTCGATAATCACATGCAGCAAGAAGATTGTGAGAAGAAGCATTGTTAACGCTCATCGGAAAAAGGCGAGAGTTGTGCGTTCGATTAGTAGTGTTGTTGAAGATGGTTCGATTATTGCGAAAAAGATGGTGAAGAAGAGGACACGTGTGCTTAAAAGACTTGTACCGGGTGGAGAACAAATGGATGAGGTTTCTTTGATTAAAGAAACCCTAGATTACATTGCTTCTCTTCAAGTTCAGGTTGATGTTATGAGAAATATTGCTGCTGCTGCCGAGATTTTGGGCCGTACAGAAAGGTTGTCGTTTTGAATAATATATATCATTTTCTTTATCTATTATATATTTTTTTTATTTCGGGTTTATTTTTCCTTTTTCGATTTTAGATTACGGAGAATTAAAGGAGGTAGATTTATGCTGTTATAGTAGCATGTTGTAACTCTATAATATGTACCGATGAAGAGTACTACTTACTCATCATGTT